TTAGTCCTAACAGAAAATTTTCGCGTCGGAACGAATGTATCCAGCCCATTCCCCTGCCGCCTTGCGGGCATTAGATTTCCTACGTCTACTGGTCGAGGGTACATATCTTTTCCCGCTCTGTGCAGGCCTCTCCCGTCGAACCCCGGGCCAGCACCTCTATTTTCAGATTCAACGCGCTCCTACGCCGGCGTCCAACCGCAAACCCCTATCTCCTCAGCAGGAGCTGTCCTCGAGGCCTAAAGATGGCGGAGCAGCGACGGCCTTCCGGCTTGCCGAGCCTCTTCTCCCCCATTCCCGAGCCGCCTAGCCCCCTCTAATGAGAGACACTCACAAAACAACCGCACACGGAGCCCCGTATGTGGGGCTCCGACGCCCAGAGCTCTCCAGTCCCGGAAGCTGCTACCTCACGAGCCGCCGCCGCCGCCAGCATCCGCCATCTTCCCCACCAGCGACCAGAGGCGGTGCACACGATCAACGTCATCGCGCACGCCAGCGGCGGAGTAAAACCAAAGGGAGGCTAAGGGGAGGAGAGCGCAGAGGCTTTCAGAGTGCGCATGCGCTCTCGGAATGAAGGGTAGGAATAGTTTCTGAATTTTGAGGGTCGGAGGAACCAACTATTGCGATTCTCAACACAGCCATGGTTTCCGGTTCCCGCTCCGGAAACAGAGGTGCTTACACTCTAAAATCAATTGAAAAAAGCAGGAGTCCAGTAGCACTTTTCTACTGCTACAGAGAAACACGGCTACCCATCTTGATCTAAAATCAGTGTCAGTACACAAGAGTGAAGGTATCATCTTCTAGCAAAATTTATTTTGGCTTTAGTGAGTCAGAAGTCGCCTTTAAATGAGGAGAGTTTATATACAAGTCCTCCCCCTTATATAAAATCAGGCCCTCTGTGTCTATACTTCATGCTTCTGAAAAAGTGAGTGCCGACCCACAAAAGCTTACGCATTACTGAAATAAAGGGGAATTTCACATTACCCGTCTTCTCCCGGTTTCAAGCCGGGAGTCTTCCGTTTGCAGATGAACCGGTAGAGGGCTGCCGTTTCACACACGGCTTGCCCCTACCGGAAAGGAGCCGATTCAGAAGCGGTTCGGCATTTTACACACGCACCGCTTTGTTTCCCCACGTTTTTTTTTTTTAAGTCCGTCTTATAGCGATATATCGATATACCAGTATTCCAATGTATTCCAATGGAATCGGCTGAAAAAAGGCGGGAAAGAAGCGTATTGGAACCGGGAGAGGGAACGGGAGCCTCCTCGGAAGCAGTTGACAGGTAAAACGCTTCCCTCCCGGTTCGTAATCGGAACAGAGGCTTCCCTGTGTGAAATGCCACTTCATCCCTTCAGCCCGGTAGGGAACCGATTCTCAACCGGGTTCTGTCTGAAATGACAGACCAGCACCCGGTTGAGAATCGGTTCCCTACCGGGAGAAAGCACCTGTCTGAAATTCCCCAAAGTCTTTAAGGTGCTGCTTGACCCTGGTGTAATTTTGCTACAATAGACCCAACGGCCCCTTGCCTATTTAATTTATATGCAGAGTACATCATGAGAAATGCCAGTCTGGATGATTCAGAAGACAGAAGATTGCTGGGAAAAACACCAACAACCTCAAGATATACAGACAATATCACTCTAATGGCAGAAAGTGAAGAGGACCTAAAGGGCCTCTTGTTAAACGTAAAAGAGGAGAGCACAAACCTTGGCTTGAAACTCAACATAAAAAAAACTAAGATCATGGCATCCTTGGCAAATAAAAGGAGAAGTCGTGGAAGCAGTGACAGACTTCACGTTCCTGGGATCCACTGCAGATAGTGACTGCAGCCATGAAATTAAAAGATGCCTGCTACTTGGGAGGAAAGCGATGGCAAACTTTGACAGCATAATAAAAAGTAGAGACATCACCCTGCCAACAAAAGTATGTATGGTCAAAGCAATGGTATTCCAAGTAGTACTGTGTGGCTGCGAGAGTTGGACTATAAGGAAGGCCGAGCGCGGAAAAATAGATTCTTTTGAATTATGGTGCTGGAGAAGACTCTTGAGAGTCCCCTGGACTGCAAGGAGATCAAATCAGTTAATCCTAAAAGAAATCAACCCTGACTGTTCCCTGGAAGGCCAGATACTGAAGCGGAAGCTCAAATACTTTGGCCAGCAAATGAGAAGGGAGCACTCACTGGAGAAGATCCTGGTGCTGGGAAAGATTGAAGGTCAAAGAAGAAGGGGATGGCAAAGGATGAGATGGTTGGACAGTGTTATCGAGGCAATGAACATGAAATTAAGCAAACTACGGAGCATGACAGAAGACAGGAGGGCCTGGTGTGATGTGGTCCATGGGGTCACGAAGAGTCGGACTTGACTGTGCGACTGAACAACAAGACTCAACACAGCTACCCATATGGACATAAGTTCAGGTGGAAGGCTGCTGAAGCCAATGTATCTGTAGGAAAATAAGTGAACAAGGAAAACTAAACAAACGCCAATCTTGTGCCACCATAAAGGCTAACCATTTTTGATCCCATTTCAGGAGAAAAGTGTTGTAGAAGTACATAAAAATACACAGGTATTTTTTCTGTCTTGGATTAGAGTCCAGTTTATGAGATGCATAAAGTGGTTTCTTACTAGAGGGGCATTTATGTATGAGGTTATGAAGGGGCAAAGGGTTTAAAAAAACAACCTTGACATGTAGGAAGTACAGGGTGAGACAAAATTGCATAAATTACAGTATAACCAAGTGAATTATAGAGGCCACTATGGCAATAATTGATAATGCAACCCCCCAATTCTTGCTAAACTAGTTGAGACCTGTAACAGTTTAGAAATTCTAAATCCTCAAGACTGTCAGTGTAGGTGACACTAGAATAAAAATTTACTAATAATTTTCCACCCAGTGTTTAGGGGACCAAAAGCTCTGACCTGGGTGGTTCAGGCAAGCCTGAGCTTGGCAGATCTTGGAAACTAAGCAGAGTCAGCTCTGGTTAGTACTTGGACGGTAGACCATCAAGGAAGTCCAGGGTTGCTATGCAGAGGCAGGCAATGGCATCACCTCTATTTGTGGCTTGAAAACTCTATGGTGTTGCCATAGATTGACTGAGATTTGATGGCACTTTCCACCAAAAGGCTGTAAGATTCATGTTTATTTTTGCCGCAACGGACTAACCTAACTTTTCCTCTCTAATTATTACTAGGGAAATAAAGGTTTTAGCAGTGGATGGCAAGAGGGCAGAACAAGCATTGTCTGTTACTCAAAACCTACAATAGGGGAAAAAGCTAAGAAATCTCTCTGTGGCATGTCAAAGTAGCGAAAGAAGTTGGTATATCTCTGACATAAAGGCAGAATCTGGATCTTTCAATCTTTCTATATATCTGTATTTTAATCCCATCCCACCCTTCCTCTGGAGAGCTCAGGATATACAGCTCCCCCATAATTATCTTCACAACAATTCAAGGTGCCTGTATTACCCTTTAAAATCCAGTTAGGCTTGGGACCAAAATACCTTAAGGACTACCTACTTCCACATGAACCTACCCAGTCACCATGGTCATCTTCAACGGCCTTCTTTGGGTGCTCTGGCCATCTAAGTTTAGATATGTGGCAACCTGAGAAAGAACCTTATTGGTTGTGGCACCAAAATGACGGCACTGGCAATCCCACCAAAGGGAGATTTTTCTGTCCCCCTTGATCATTGTCTTCTGCCAGCAAGTGATCTGTTCCATTTGGTGTTTCCTCACAGATCTTCCTTCCTCTTTATGTGTTTTGTTTTTATAAATTGTATTTTTAAAAGTTGGTCTTGGTGGTTTTGATTGTTCACTGCCCTGGAGGCCCTAAATTGGATGGAAGGTGGCCCAGAAGTTTTTAAAATAAATAATAATAAATGATTTGGGCTCTAGCAGGATCCACAAACATACTTCCCCAAACAAGGAAGTTTCATTTAGCTGTCACAGTTTACAGCAGTTAATAGATCTATCATCCATAAATTTGTCTAATTTCCTCCTAGCCAGGGGTTATCACTTTACTGGGGGCAGTAAGTTCTATAACTTAACTGCACATTGCATGAAAAAGTACCTTCTTCTATATGGTCAATTTAATGCAGCAAGTGGAAGTTTCAGTGGTACAAAGAAGAAAAATTATATCCACTTTCTACATGCCATCTGTAACTTTATAAAGGTTACAAATTTAAGATAGAAGTCAGGCGGCTGAATGGCGGTGTGAGAAAAGCACAAGAGCAGTTCTTAAGTACTAAACAGTAGGATTGCATGCATACTTGGAAACATAATCTTTAAGGAAATTACCCCAAAATATGATTTTGGATCCATGATAGATGGCTTAAACATTGTATGGGACCCACTTTTATTCCATTGCACTCCTGTTGATAATGGGGGAGGTGTTAATCAGACACTGGTACCTATATTATAGTTTGACCAGTTGAAACTTTCCCACACTATAACTCCTCTAGTTTACCATAAGAGGACTAATGTCTAGCAGATGGATATATTCGTGTAACTGATAACATTGCAAGGGATACTAATTTTAAAAGACAGCCATTTCATCCCTTTGGAAGCAAACTTGGAGAAAGGGACAGGAAGACAGAACCTTCTCTTCAGTTATTGGAATGAGGAACACAGCATCAGAAATGAGCTGAGTGATATCCAGTAACTCCTAAAACTTAAATGGGTATAGCTGCAGTGTACTCTACTTAGAGTACATCACAGATTGCATTATGTTATGTAGTTCCATGATACCACTAACAAAAATGTTAACAAAGCTCATTTCATACTTCTAGTACAGCAAGTCCTGTGAAACTAAGAACTGCTACTTTTGGTAACTCAAGCACACAGCCTGAGCTTTCAACATTAGCATCAGTTTTCAGTCCCAGTTTCACAACACACAGAAGTCTTAGTTTTTTCTCTCCAAAACACAAACTTGTAGACAAGTTTATAACAACATATGCATATAATTAAACATACAATAGATTTTAATATATTACTTCAATACACCAACATACAGAAAAGACATTCAACTTCATAAATTCCTTCCCACTTATACCATTTTTCCACCACTCCAGTAAAAAAAATCCTTTTTAAGTCAAAGGGAATTACATAAAAATTAGTGGATAATTTCACAAACCACATGCCCTTAATTACAAATACAGGACTTTTTCACACAATGTATAAAATTAGTTCTGAGGGAAGAACTCTCTCTTTCTTGATCAAACTCATCAAGAATACACTGAAATTTATCAGACCTGATTCCACTGTTACTACAGTTTTCAAGAAATAATAGGAAAATAAGTTTCTCTTGGACAAGAAATATTCAGAAGGGGACCTATGTCCTCATTTATTTTACAACCAATGCCACAAGTGTTTTGTACGTTCCCCCCATGAATAGAGAAAGTTTGGAAACAAGTCTTAAACTAATGAGATCAAACTCCAAAGAACTCTGCCATTCATACCACATTAATTTTCATAACTACATCAATATTTAACATATCCAAATATTTTTAGGAATCTATCATGTAACAGTTTCTGAACTAGTCCAAGACTGCATAGGAACAAATGATGTTTCTTTTTCAGATTACAGAAGAATCTGGTAATTCCTTCTAATATTGAAAGCTTCTTTTGGTCTGAATGTCATCAAGAATCTGCTGCAACTCTTCATCTTCAAACCGACCCTCTAGGCTGAAGAATTAATAGTGGTTAATTTAAATACACACATGCACACATATCCAATGCTTAAATTTGCCAGGATGTCTTTACTGTTAGTCCCAGATATGTGGCCAGAAGAGGGTCAAGCTGTATTTACTCAGCAGGGTGAAAAGGCACATTTGTATTACATTCATCAGGAGGCAAGCGGCAGCATTCTGCAGTAGTTGAAATTTCTGAACCGTCTTCATGAGCCATCCACATTACAAATAATCAAATCACAGTCCCATATATTAGGTTACTAGATACTGGAACCATTTGTTTTTAAATTTGTTTTGGATAATGGCTGTTGTAATTACCATGTATTTTATTATTGGCTGATTTTATTGCTTGCTCAACACTGTGAATATTTTATATAGAACTATATAGAATTATATTTATTTATTTCTTAAACTTTATTTTTTAAATTTAGTTTATTTATACCCCACCTTTCTTTCCAATGGGGACACAAGGTGGCTTACATTCCTCTCCTCCATTTTACCCTCACAACAACACTGTTAGGTAAGTTAGGCGGAACCCAGGAGTTTAATACCAACTACCCTCTTATTATTCAGCATCTCCTATTCACTCCCTGGTTAATGAACACCAGTTGTACTAGTTCTAAAGATTCTCTCCTCTCTTAGCCTTTCCACTGATTGTCTGAAGTAAACATACTGAATGGCTCCTGTTCTCTGTATATACAAGCAGGGATAGAATTGATTGTTCACTTGATCTCCTGTAAGAATTGCCTTCAGGCAATCAGCTTTTGAAATGCTGGAGGTTTCATGTGAGAGCTATAGTTGTGCCTCTTACAGGAAAGGTGAATATGACAGACTTGCCCTGTAATTCTGGAGGAAGTGTGTGGAGCTACCTTCTCTCCCCTTCTGAGATAATCAGTGGGGAACAGCTATACACACACATTCCAAATTCCACCTCCTCCACTCATACTGGATTGCATCTCCTCATTCTTGGAACTGCAGAATCAGGCTCATTCTCCATCACAATATTAAGGAGGCTGCCTGTGGGCTGAGCTTCTCTCTTAGCAATGAGGTTTAAATCTGAGAAAGAGAAAAGGCCACAGCCACCACTAGCACTGCACCATCAGAAAGCAGCACATTGCTAATGGCAACAGCCTCTTCTTGATTAAGAACTGGGGAGGGAGTGCAGAAAGGGAAGGCACAACTACAGTATCTGCCTATGTTCTGGGATTGGGAAAGGAGCGTGGAGCATAACAAGGTTTAAGTGAATAACCAGAGGGATGTAGACTGAAGCTCTACTTGTTCCCAAGGCTAATCCCTTGTTAATCTAAAACCACACTAAAGTCATGTAGTACTACCAATATAAGAGAACATCATACCAGTTCGTTTAGAACCAGATGGATGGGAATGTCGCATCCTGATATACCTGTTGTTCATCCATTCTAAATATCACCTTGAGTCCTCAAGAGGTTCCTCAGAATGACTCACCTGGGAATTAAAGCTTTGGCCTCCTCAGCTGTCTCAGGACACAGATTAGCCAAACAAGCCAGTTCAAATTTATGAAGCTTCTTCTGGAGTAATAAACTGCATTGGGGGGGGGGGGGGGAGAACAAATCATAGTGGAAAAATAGAAGCTTCCAGTAAAATAATCAAAAGGTTTAATGAAGCAGGTTAAGAATTCAGTGGGGTTTGAAAAATGTACTTCATTTGCAATTTTATAATTAAATTAAATTTAAATTAAACAGCCATATGTTTTATACATTTTAATACAAATATCACAAAAGCATGTACATTGAAAGGAAGATATAACACACATTGTAGCATTAAGATACCAAAATAAATATGTTTGAAGGTGGAAGTAAGACATAATAAACCAAATTACAATGCAAGCGTAAAAGCATATTTGTAAAATAGTTGTCCTTGTATCAGGTTTTGGATGTTGCATTTTATCTGTCTATTTGTTAGGCCTTAGCTGGAATAGTTTACCAAACATCAGTCTTTCAGGAAAGAGAAAGAGCCCACACAGTACCTGGTCTTTCAGCCATAAGGATATGCACCTGAACAAATTTTCCAAGATCCAACCAGTCTCTAAATATAGTTCATATAAACCTACATAAACCGTGGAATCTCCAACCTAGGAGCTACATAATAGGCAAGTGTACTAAGAAATGCTAGTTTCCAATTGTTTGCAAAAAGATAGCATACTTACCAAATATAAATATAAACAGCTGTCACAGTGATCTATTTACCTACGTTCTACATTCTTTATATGAGTTTTCTTTAGAATTGTGAAACAAAGTTTACTTGCAAAAAATAAAATCTTGCAAATGCATACAGCAAAATTTCCCCTTTTCATTTTAGAGGTGGTAGGCATACTCTTCCATTTTGGCACACACATTTTCAAATAAAGTATTTTTTTTCCATTGGTTAAATTACTCACCTACGAACACTAGCAATAATCTCCCGGTTTTTGAAGCGGCTGAAGCGATCAGTATAGTTCAATATTTTCATGAAGACTTCTGAGAGCTCCTGTTCATCTTCTGCACTCTCATTCTGCTGTTTCCGATGCTCAAGAAGCATATGTACTTCTGAATTCAAAAGGGTCTCAGCAGTCTCGAATTCTGTATGTAAAGATGGTTACAATTCAAAAAACCCCAAAATACACAGAATATAGATCTTTACTGGTGTTATCTTAGGTCTGGCCTACAACATGCCTAACGAGGCAGAACAGAATGTATCACAATCAGATGGAGAATATTTGGAGTCAAAAACACTCCTTCCAAGCAGGAAAAAATACATCAGGGAGAAAACTCAGCACTTGCCCTGCTGTTCAAGTTTACAGTGCTCAGAATATTTGAAAGGTTATCCCTGCATGTAATCTGCAGAGATACAGTTCACTACCAATGTTCCCTCTAAGCTGTGGAGTCTTGTGAGCAAAAATTCTCCTTTGTGAGCTACTGTCATGAAAGTTGTGAGCAAGAGATTTGGCTACTGCATCAATGAGTGTGCTCTGTAGCCATCCTTCCTGAGCAAAGACAAAAAATGTGTGAGCCGGAGGCTAAAAAACTGTGAGTTAGCTCACACTAACTCAGCTTAGAGGGAACACTGTTCACTACACCACTTTCTATGACATGCATACCCAAGATCTTAGGGAACATTATGACATCTTTAGACATATTAAAGTTTAATCATGCATATGTCCTGAGGGCCACCCTACTATATTTAAAACAGACTCATCATTCTTAACAGAACCTCTAAGAACAGTTCTCAGCTCCAGTCTTCACACTGATACACAATGTTAAGACCAATAAGATCACATGTTTCTGTTTTCCAGAATGTTTCAGACTATCTAAATGTGAAACTATTCCCAGAAACAGCATTGCCTTGGAATACAGAGCCCATTCTACCCAGATAAAGAGAATGTTTGCAATGCATCAGCAGTTGAAGGATGTATACTAGTTCACCTACAAAACTAGTGACTAGATTAATGTTTTTGCTAAACAGACAATAAAACTCTAATAACATCCAGACTGTTGCAGCAAAAAAAGCAGTTAGGCAATTTCTACTGATCTCCCCCTCCACTGTTGATCCCACTTGCTGCCACCCCCCACCCCCCACCCCCCATTCCTGACAGTCTCTTGACTGCCATAAGCAGAATTTCAGACAGCTCAGTGGATTGCAACAGTATTGGAGGAGGGAAGCCTGCCTTACTCTGCAGGTAGTAGGTTGCATCTGGTCCAAAGAGTCCTGTAACACATTAAAGACAATCCAGGATAATCGGCCGGCAAACCATCTGCTGCTTATACTGTTCATACATTGACTGTTTTTGACGGTTTCACTGTTTACACTTTCTGTTTTGGGATTTTTCACATAAGTTATTTATATTTACAAACTGTCTGAATTTCTTTTGTAGTAACTGTTATCAATACAAACAGCTTTGTGCCTTTTTTGGTAACATCTGATGCTGTGTACTTCTTTTCCAGTTTTCAGGTGTCTCCCCCTTTTGCTTTCCTTTCTACACATTAAAGACCAACAGATTTATTGTGACATCAATTTTCATAGACCAGACCTCACTTACCATGATGTGTTATCTTCAGCTAGGGAGCAGATAAATCCCCCCCCCCCCGAAAGTACAGAGGATACTGCTAGCTTTAAAATAAGAAACTATAATCTACAAACCATTAATGCCAGATGATTTGGAAGTATCACAACAGGACTGAAGCCATAACCACGTTATGCCTTTCCATAAGGGTAGCCATGGTAGTCTGTGGCCGCCAAGTAAACAAGAATCACGTGGCACCGTATTAAAGACTAACAAGTTTTTATTATGGTATCAACTTTCATGGTATAAAGCCCTCTTCGTCAGAGGAGGCTACGCAAATTATTTGCTTGCTACTCCATTGGAAATCAATTTTACTATGACGGTTTATAGCCACAGATTTCCTTTCCTCCGTGGACCTCAATGCAAGGCCCACCCACGATATCCGGGTTGTCTACCATCCGGGCACTGGCCCACAAGACCCTGTGTGCCGTCAAGATTCGGGACGACTCAGTCCGGGGGAGCGCGACCTGACAACGCACGAGACCTTGACCAACACGGCTGCACGGGCTTCAATGTCTCCGGCTCCGCACTTGAGGGCCTCCTCCTCCACACGGCCTCCGCTGGCATCTGGCGTCCTCTCCCCAACCCCTCTCGCTCTTCTCCAGGCGCAGAGCTCACCTTTCGGAAAGACCAGCTGTGAGGCATCCTCCTCCACGTCCACGGTGCGCGGATCGGTCCCTCCGGCCGCCATCGCCTCAACCCAGTCCCGGAAGCCCGGGCGGAAAGGGAGGGCGGAAAAGAAAGCGAGGGGGAGGGCACAGTCGCCCTCTTGCGGAGACGGCTTGCCCCGGGTCCCCTCGCAGACTAGCGGGAAAGACTCCCAGCCGTCTGCATCCACGCTGGCCCGTAGCCGCCGCTTCCGAAGGCGGGCGGTGTTTGGACGGCGTGAGCCACTCCTGAGAGCCCACCTGGCCCTAGAGCGGGATATCAGTGTCATAAAGAAAACTGACGTCTCAGTCCCGAAGCGTCTTCTCGCTGTTTGTGCCCGTTCCCAAGGAATGTAGCTAAGCAGGAACATGCTTCTGCCATACGCGAATCTGTGCACTATATTTACTTGGGAGCAGCCACCACTAGCCGTTGTAGGGATGTAAAGGTAAGAGTAAAGGTTCCCCTTGCTCGAAAGCCAGTCGAATCCGACTCGAGGGTTGCGGTGCTCAAGCCGAAGAGCCAGCGCTGTCTAAAGACGTTTCCGTGGTCACGTGGCCGGCATGACTAGACGCCGAGGCGCTCGGAACGCTGTTACCTTCCCACCGAAGCGGTACCTATTTATCTATTTGCAATTTCTTGCTTTCGAACTGCTAGGTTGGCAGGAGCTGGGAGCAGAGACCTGCACTACCGACCTTCTGGTAAATAAATACAGGCAGGCTTATTGCTGCCGAAGAAACATTGTAGCAGATTTCTAGGTCAGAAAGCAGAATTTGTCACACTGGGCCGCTTTAAAAAAAAAAAAAACCACTGTGGAGACTTTCTGTTGTTCAAATCAAATTGGAATAGATCCGCATTTTCCCTATTGCAGAACGGTACCCTTGACCTGTGGCTTTCAGTCTTCAATGTTAACATTTTCCAGCTGCATAAATTCGCAAGATTTGCACAATGGTGTCTCGGCACAGAAGCGTTTCGGTGTCGAACGCTATTGCGGGCATATTGTAGTTCTTCAACTTGATTGTACTTGCCTGATGTCTATTCTATGAGGCTGGTTCCAAGGAAAGTGCTCTTAGGGTGGCACTGGTCGTCTATCAGCATCCATTGGAACATGCTACCGATACACAAACCATTTCTGGGAGAAACAATACTTCTGTTCACAGTGAAAATTCAAGAAGCTATTTAATTTTAAAAAATTATTTCAGTCATCACCTTTCTGTGGTGGTGGGGATCCCACAACTGGTGCAGTTTTTCATCCTCTTTCTCTTGTGGACTGGCAGGGAATGAAATTATCAGTTTCCTGCCAGTTTAACAGTTGTGTTACCAGTAGCAGCACCCTTGTCCTGTCACAGAAGACCACTAGTTTAAAAGTTGGATTTCACTTGAAAGGATCGCTTCCTATCAGAGTTGATATCATATCATGATCACATTCCTGCCACCCAGGAGAGCAGTTGCTGGCTTTGTCATTGCCTGTATACTCTGACGATAGCCAGCAAGTGGCAACCTGGGGATCCCAAGTGGTGTACAGGAACATATATGGAGGAGATGGTCCTTTAGATACATGGGTCCTAGAGCAGGAAGGGCTTTATAGGATATAACCGGCACCTTGAATTGAACTGGGCAACAAACTGCATGGCAGCCAATGTAGCTGTTTAAAATAGACAAGATATGTTCCCATGGGCTAGCCCTTGACAACAATGCTCACAGTTTACTGTTTTGTTTAGATTGCATACTTCCCCCTGGGGTCGTCATAAGCAGTACACCCAAATGATTTGTGGTGCTTCTCTTTTCAAAGGAAAGAAACCATTTCTAGTTTCTCTGTCCCAGAGCAGCTTTTGTTTGAAGTCAGCACAGTATTTCCTTTACTCCTTCTTAAGGATGCAGACTGTCAGGGCACTGTGGAAAAGCCTAAAACATCTTCCTCCCTCTTTCTTTTTTTTCAGAATTCCTAGCCTGAAGAGTACTTGCTTACTAGTTTGTGCTGTTTTAATTGTCCACAAAAAAGATATCATAGTGCTGTTGCTTCTGAACGTTTTCCCCTAACAGATCAGAATGGTTAGCTGCAGTTTTTATTGTGTCAGCTCTCGATGCTGGAACTGAGCCTTTCTTTACAATACAAAGCATGAAGCACTAACACACTTCTAGCAGAGTACACAATGGTGCTGCTGGTATGAGTGGTCAACTGATGCTTGTCAATCCCAATGTCCATCAGGAGCAAAATGGGAAAATCACCCTGGAACAAGTCCAGATGAACAGCCCCTGTGGTGCTACAAACCAGCACTCCAGGGGTTACTGGACTCAGTAGTGCCAACAATGGGCATTGGATCACATTATGCCTCATCCCACAAAGTGCAGGAGGAGACAATTGATGAGCTAACACCAATGAAGTGTGCTCAGGGGGCCAAGTGGACCTTGAAGTGCTGGCAGAATTGCTGAGGCTCAGCTACCAGCCACCCTATCAGGCTGCATCTCACCAGGAAATTCCCCTGTAAGTTAAATGGCCATTCCACCACTGATGCTTGTAAAGGGATACATTGAACAGCCCAATCCTAAGGGCTACTGTGGCAGTGGAGGGCAGCTGCCAATGTAATAGTGGTGCCACTGGTTGGCTCCTTATGGACATTGTGTGTGTGTGTGTGAGTGTGTGTGTGTGTGTGAACTACATAGGCACCTCCACCAGGCACAGACCCATAGCAGACATGCCAGAATCCCTACATTCAGCTATCATGGAGCAGCAGCCAATGATGTCCCTCTGAGTAACACAAATGGGAGCAGCCAACCAGCACCCTCAAATGCAGCCACAGCTCCTAGATGTCATGCTGCTGCACCCCACAGAGTACACAGACAATCATCTGAGTCACAGCATAGCCAAGTTACCAGTAAAACACATGACATGAGTATCCTAACCATTGGGCCAAGCAGACATCTGGAAAGGGGGAACACCATCAAGCATTAGGTCTTCCCCCACAGCTGTGATGTCATCACCAACCATATGGGGCCAGGCAGGGAATATTACACAGACAGGTATGACCAATGGAAAGGCATAGCCCACACAGGGAAAAGGCAGGCAAGACCCCACCACAGAAAGACCTACGCTGCGTAGGTGCCTGGTAAGGCATCCGTCTCCCCTGATATGTATGTGGCCCTAGTTAGGCGATTAAATATATATGTGTAAACCGCTCTGAGCCTCTGGGAAGGAGTGGTATAGAAATGTAATGTAATAATAATAATAATATTTTGCCCCCTCTGCTAACTGAGAAAAATAGGTGACAATTCAGCTGATGAGCCTCTGGGACTGACATTTTGGCTGACACACCCTCTGTACTGTACACAAAGGCCAGCTGCTACCATCACCTCCCTTGTATCCCAGCTCTCCCTTCACTGAGACCCCCCATTTGTGAGGGTATTCATGTCTCCCCTCGTGTAACCTCAAAAGCAGGTTAAGAAGGGTGAAGAAAAGCTTATTTTCTCAGGCAGAGATTTCATGGCTCTGGATAACAGCATCAGCTTAGCCAGACTTTTACTTGGCTTTTAGTTACGGTTTTGGCAGTCAGCTTAGGGAAGAAAGCTTGTTTCATTGAGACAAATAAACAGAAAGCTTGTTTCACTGAGACAAATAAACATCCTGTTAAGGGCCCTACATTCCTAACTTATGCATACACATTCTGTGGAAAAGATATCTGTGTAGTAAAAAAGCAGCCTTGAACCTGTTGAGGTAATCTGTCTGGAGAAAGGGAATCAAGTCTCCCATCAGGGTTTATACACTTTATTTGAGGCTCAGCTACAAATTAGTTACTCTCATTAGGGAAAAGATTGTAATTTTGGGAGATGAAGCTGAGAGCCAGTTTCACTATATATACACTGAAGCCATACACATTTGCTTTATTAAATACTTTATTTTCTGTGAAATAAGCCTTTGTTTGTCTCCATCTGTGTCTTGTATGTCGAGCTGAATACCTAGGAAAAAGGGATTTCTATTTACTTCACAAATAATTATTGCCTTGGTATGGCAGGTTCCCAAATGAGAGATCCTTGGGGAACATATAGCCTGTGCACTAACAGTCCTTTAATCAAACCTTGTTGTCCCCCTTTTTATTTGATTGCAGGTGGCTGAGGTATAAAGAATCTATAGGAGAGGCCAGAGTGGGAGACTGGACACTCTTCAGTCACTGAGCAGTTGCCTCTAAATCCTCCCCACTGAGGCTGAATACAACAGAAGTCCAGTAGCATGATGCAGACTAACAAAATGCATTCCAGCATGAGCCTCTGGTGAATCAAAGCCTTCTTCCCTCAGGTGTGAAGAGGGAATTATTTGGAGAAATCCCACTGCAAATTCACCGAAGGGGTGGGGGAGTGGAGAGATGTGGGTCACAGAGTAGCGTGGCATGAGGGGGTAGAGGTGGGAGGGGTTAGGCCAAGCCTCAGTTGCCCAGCACCAAACAGAGATACTGCTTTTGAACACTCCGGACTTTATTCAACAGCAGTGGGGAAATATTAACAAGATCCAATGACCAGGGTAGTGAACTCCCCTCTGTCCAGTACAGCCCCTACACCTTTTGCAAGCTGCTCCAGGGAGCCATGAGGAGAAAGGGTAATCCCTGTCTATCACAGTAGGCCTGTGAGTGAGGTGGATATACCAGAAAGATGGCTGTCTGAACATCCTGAACAGTGCAGGAGCTGGGCTGGACCCAAGGAGATGGCAGCGGCAGTGCCTACACCAGTCCCCGCAGCCAGCTCATACAGCACCCTGAATATTATCCTCCCAGGTCTCCTCCCTGTTGAATCACCACCTGCACAGATGTCAAACAGAGACATAGGCAATGATAACAGACAAGATAGTGGGCACCAACTACAGCCATGTCTGTGGAACAACAGCAGGGTTTGCAGTTCCCCACCAGCATGGAGGAAGGCTCCCTTTGCCAGGATACCCCTTCAGGGTACCCATGGCACTGACACTTACCCTGTATGGAGCTTCACTTCAACTGTCTCTACTCCATCCCTAGGTGCTGCTGCATAGTGCTTCTATCCTGCAAGGAAATAAGAATCTTGAGTGTTTGGCCAGCAGTTT